GATAAACACATTATACTCCTTTGGAGGTAGATGTTGTATCCCCAGTGGGATTCAGGCTTGTTTCACTCTGATAGCCTTACCACCATACCCACCTATAACAGCAAGAGTCCCAGTGTTGCAGTAAATCAGCACTCAGCTCCTTTGTCCACCAGAGCTAGGACACATTGCACATTCACTGGGACCAATGAATTGATATTTCAACATGTGGCCACCAGTCCCCTAAGGCAGGTACCTTGATCCTCCTCTCAGTCAAACTGTATCTCCCAGTCACCTTCCTGTGATGGTCCAGCAAGGTCAGCTCACTCTCCAGCAGAAAGTCTTGCAGACACATGGGCCAGACTTGTGGCTTTGTCTTCAGCTTCCATTTCTTGGTCCTCACCTTAGCTGACTGCTGAAACCATTACTCCAGCTTCAGTTTCTGCCACAGCTCCAGTTAAGATTTTATATGACTTTCCATCCAGTTTCAATCTGTCTGCTCCTGCCTTTATTGTATTAGCCCACATCTGGGTCCTCGTGACCTTCACAGGGCCCTTTCAACTCTTCTTCTGAGTAGAGGACTGTGTTCCCTTGTTTCCACCTCATGCAAGTATGCTACCGTATGGATAACCTCACTTATGGGCTGTCCTAAGTGAGGAGAAAGAATGGCCACTAGGTGCCCAAAGAGGAACAAGGGAGCCATTTGAAGTACCACATTTCTCATCCCTACAGTTAGAGGCTCTTCATCTGGGCCATAATTCTCTGGACTATAAATGGAATTTTTAAGGCCTAAATCCCATAACACCTGTTGGAACTCAACATATGTCTGCCATCTAGTAGGGGAAGATTGCAACTCACCCTGCTTGGCCATACAGAGCCATAAGCCAATTGAAGAGGTAGTGATTTCCTGGGGTTTGATGTGTATTTTGCAGTCACTGGTGCAAGGCAGTATAAACTGTCAGGGAAACCAGCTTTCCCTTCTCTGATCCAGACAGAATGATATCGTCCATTCCTACATCCCAAAGACACAGTAGCCAAGCTGATATTGACTCTGAAAGGCATCTACCAAAACTGGAAGCCCAAATCAACTAGCACAGCCTGTGTATAGGAGTGGAGCATAGAGTGCTCCATGACCCGGGGAGGGAACTGCATCTCTCCTGGAGGAACCTGTGGTTGGTTGCTGCATCTTTATTTTCTTGACTACGACTGGGCAGCCTTTCAATAGAGGAGGGGTCAGTGCCTCTGGCACCAACACCATGTCCCACCCTCTCATCCTCCCGCAGTTCCTCCTCCATTTCCAGGGCTGTTGACAGCTTTCTTACTGCTCCTCCAAGTGCCTCCTCTAGCACACCCTTTACCTTTTCTACAATGCCTTTCAGTGATGCTATCTCTTCAGCAGCTCTCTTACCTTCACCTCAGTGCATCACAGCCGGCATTCTCATGCTTCCTCTTCTTGTGCTTCTCACAGAGTATGTCCTTCTCCTTCAAGGCTTTTGCCTCTTCTGCAGCACCTTGCAGCCTGCATTCTTGTGCTATCTCTTCTTGTGATACTATTACATCCTTTCCCATCTCCACAGCACCTTGCAGTGACACCATCTCAGTCATCAACAAATTTTTTACCTCCTCTACAGATGCCTCTTCTTGTGCTTCTTACAGGAGTCCATCCTTCTCCTGTATGTCCTTTCTTAACATGTGAAAAAAGCCAATCCACAGTCTTACCACCTTGCGGGCACTCTGTTTCTCCAAGGAATTCCCTATTTTGCTGAGGGCCATTCCCTTCCTCAGGCATCACCTCTACCTCTCCCCAGTCCTGGGGAGGGACCCAATCCTCCCTCAGACCACATGTCCACTGGGGGATACATGAGTGTCTCCCCATCCATAGGAGCAGCCCCCTGAAGTACCCATCCCATGAAGGCAGGTTATTTCATTTTTTTTTTCCATCTGTAGAGCATCTTGCTAAGGTCACCAAATGTCTCACCTGAGAGTTTCAGCCCTGGGCAAGTTCACTCTGGATTCAGTGAGACCAAAAAATGACAATGGAACATTGTGGGTTAAAGAGTTTATACCCAGCTTTATTCTCGTGGTGGCAGGTCAAGCTCTGGAATCCCATCTACCTCAGGGCAAGTCTGCATGCAGCAAGCTGGTCTCTGCCTCCATGTTTCTCCACCACCTCGCAGCCACAGAACACTGGGTGGAGCTCTTTCTATAGAGTCAATAATAGCCCATTGCCAACATGTGTGTAAGCCTGCACCTGTGAGCATTGTATGTACTCAGTGGGCAAGCAGACCAGGGTCAGGTGAGGATCCTGGCCATGAAACTTCCATTTTCTCTACAGTCACTAAAAGCTAACCAGAAGTGTGGATAGGAATTGACTGGCAGCTAAGGAAAACAAGCAGCATTCTCTGAATTAACAAAATTAAACTCATTTCATGGAGTATGGGGTTTTTGCATGCTCATATTGTTTTTGCATTATTCTTGGTGCTGGTGGTAGTAATAGCAGTAGATTAATAGCAGTGGCAAATGTGTGATAATTATAGTAGCTGCCTCTTGTTAATGTAGTTGGAGCAAATGTATTACCCATAGCAACTGTAATTATAATTTATTTTAATGTTACAATAACAGGAGAATAAAAAATTGTAATTATAGCTTTCATATATTAGCAATTCTTCCATAGTTTTACTTAGTTCTTTGGGAACAGTTTGAGACTTGATCTTTGAAATTTGGAAAATTATAGTTCTGGAGAATTTTTTCCTGATACAAGGAAGCAGCAGTAGAGGATTCATGTGATCTGAAAACTGGGTTATAGGGAGTGGAGAACAAGTCTTTGTCCACTGGACAGCAACAATCAGGAACAAAAATTATAAAATAAATAGAATACAAATCTATATAAATTATATATGTATATCTTATTTAAGTACTAACAGTAAGAATTAAAAAAAAATAACAGAAAGAATTAAGTATATGAAATGATTTGTGGCCCTGTATTTCGCAACTTTGCTTTTCTAGGAATTGCTGCTGCTTTTCTTAGAGTTGTTTTGGAGGAAGTTTGTTATTGATTTAAAATTATCTTACTGCCTTGAATTATTGCCCTCTTTATTCTTTAAACAAAGCAAAGTTTCCTCTATTAGTACATAGAGAATATAGAGAAATAACTATGCAGAGCTACTGTCCCCGAAAGAACATTTTCAAGTATAATTTAATCATCCTTAAAAGATCATATTTGTAGAGTGTTTGTATCCATTTTAATGGTGAAATTATAAAGGTATTCTGGTAAAAATAGAATAAAGAAAAAACAGACCAAAGGATATAATTACTCTACATCTTTATATTTTAAGGATGTGATAGTGGGCTTTGACTATGAAGAGTTGACTGAAAATCTACAGGGAAATGTAATGAAAGTAATGGCTGTATCACCCTAAAGTGTACTAAAATACACTTGAACTATGTGAAATTGCAAATACACAAAATTCAGCTCAAGACAAAGAGGATTTATTTTGAAAGATATTGCTTGGCAAATGAGAGAAAAAAGTCATGATTAATTTCATTGCTAAAGATCTTTTTAGTTAAAAATATATCTTTTAAGGTGAATAGCTAGAATTCATTATGCCTTAATAAAAAATGAAAAGAAAGAAGGAAAGAAGACATTGCTAGAAAGACAGAAATTTATTTCAAAGTAAACAACTACAAATTTAATTCTCCAATAGCTTACATAAAAATTACAATTAAGAGTTTGAAACAGCAAAGACCACAATATGCCAATGAAAGCTTTATTCAGACCATGAAGTGAGATAAAAGTTTTAATATTTTTAGATATTTAAGTCCTACACAGTTTTGTAGTTTTAAAGTCTTACTTGTTTCGTTTTATAATTAATAGAATTAATTATAGTATTATATTAGTTTATAGAATACTATATACTATATGTAAGTATATAGAATTAATAGTATTTTATTCTTATGAAAGGAGGAAAATAAACTATAGTAGCTTCAGATAATCTTGTTAGTTTATGATTACCTGAACATTATAATTTCATTGCCACAAATAACATGCCTTGGGTTTTATTTTGTAATATTTTGTGTGTGTGTGTGTGCCCATTTGCATATATGTTCTTAATTGTGCATTTCTTAGATTAATATCAAAATTAGTATTCCCTGAGCTGGCTGTCCTTTCAGGCAGCTAAAGAGGCAAGAAGCCAGTATAGGATTAACAATTTGTCATGGATAATCCACAAAGTAAATAAATCCAGTGTGAATAATTGAAAGTGGTCAGGGTTGCAGCATAGGACCTATTCAAAGGTAATTCAAGACTAAATTCTCTGCAGTTAATTCCCTCTCATTATCCTACCTCTAGAATAGGCTGGCATTGATAACTCCCTAAATAAAGAGACATTTGTATGTTATCAATGTTTTAGCATCTTATCTGCAAACATATCATCTTTATCTTCTTGATGGGGTGCTAGTATAATAGACTTGAACAATATGAGCAAGCTTTTCCATTGGGGCAACCTCTCTCAACCTTAAAAACGAGGTCCAAAACATTTTCTGCATCTTAGTATTAAAGATATGTGATTTCTAAAATGTCCTAAATGGATTGCAGTTTAAGAAAATGCAATTAAATATCATGAAAATGCATTCATTGTAAAAAAAGACTTGCATGTCCAGCTAGTGTTAAAATAAAAGAGATTAACAATGGCCAATTCAGTGTTTGAATTACTTAAAATACTGCATTAGCCTTTGAAACCTAACCATTTCTTCCAGATAATACTTTTCCCACAATTAAAAGTGTATGCATTGTAGATGTCTGACTTACCAATCTGCAAGGTGCTACTAAATCATACAAGCATTTGTTATTTAAACCAACCCAACTATTGCTGACTGTTCATTAAGACATTAATTATTTTCCTTTTCCTTTTTTAGCTACCATGATAATTTATTTTCAAAATTAGAATGCAGTTGAGTTGGGTGTATTTTAAGTAAAATTTTATCTGGGCTTTTTCTTAACATATTTCCTATTTTTCTCATTACAGGTTTCATATACACTGGAGAAGTCGTACATCGAATGCTAACAGCCACACAGTATATAGCACCTTTAATGGCGAATTTCGATCCCAGTGTCTCCAGAAATTCAACAGTCAGATATTTTGATAATGGTATGTATTGGTTGGCCTACTTTTTACTGAATGTATACTTTTAAACATTGATCATTAAATTCATATTGATGTTTTTGTCACCTGGGTGTTTTTTTTTTTTGGTAGACTGGATTTATAAACTGCTTAATGCAAATGCCTTGAGATCACAAATGTAATTCTGTAACTGTTAATAAGTGGAGTTAATAATAAAGAATATGGTCAAATGTCACTCAGTATTCATTCATCCATTTGTTCAAGAAATTGTTTATTAATACCTATCAGGCACTATAATCAATGGGTTACTGTAAACCACACCTCGAACAAAGCAAATAATTTATTTGATGCTAATTGTAGTAAGTTCTTTCTATTAAAAAAACTAAGGAAGAATAGTTTGTTAGTTCTGATCTTCCATTAGAGGAAAATGGCACAATACATTGATATTAAATTTCCAGAACTTATGAATTATATATACATAAGATGAACATACCTCTTAAAAATATAGGGTAATTGATAGTTAAAATATATTTATGAAAATTAAGTTTTCTTGACTTTAATATATGAAACAGAACCTGTTAGGGTTTATCAAGTATATTAAAGGTAATCTATCCCTACTATTTCTTTTGAAGACATAAATTAGAGAAAACCTACAGTAAGTCACTAAATGCTGTTCAAACCTAATTAAGAAATTTAAGGTCCTGAAGACCTAAGTGAATTTTCATGTCTACCTCTTATTGTAGCTTTGATAGAGAAAAGAAGAGCTTGTTTTGGAAACTTAAAAATAGAAATTTCTGTACAGTGTAATACAGAAGTGGTATTTGTCCAAATGACAGTTTCATCCTTTAAAATACTGGAAGCACTTGGTGTGAACACAGTTATTTCTATTCTTGTACTAATGATCAGGGATGAAATTTACCAGTGGGTATTACAGACTTAATGGTGACAATAGCTTTGGGAAATGTGACCAGTTTGCTAAAAGCAGTCTTATGACCAATGTAGTGAAACCATTTTTACAGGTCAAAATAGGAGGAAACTAAACAGTTAGATATACGTTCTGAGAAATCATTTCAAACCACACAAATGATACCAAAATGTGTTGCAATTTTAAGTAACTTCAAAAGTTACCATCATAATAATTATTTCCCCTCGTTATTTTAAGAACTGTTATACTATCCTCCTCCTTAAAACAATTAATGTGGTGCTACAGTCCAAGGATGTAAAAGTAGACTGTAAATTAATTGAGGCAAAACTATAACCAGAAACTTACCTAACGCTTATTCCATGACCTCCCAGATGGAATCAACTTAATAAATAGGACACGATTTGATGAAACCTGATTATTTCCCAAATTCTGCTACTTACTAGGCGATGTTGGGGACATTCACTCATGGGCACAGGTTTCTGATGATCAAATTTTTATATTATGAGCACCAAAATCATAAAGCATATTAGATGCTTCTCCCTCTGTAATCCTCATACAGCATCTTCCTAAGTAGCTCTTAATATTTGAACTTTACATTTATTTGAATCATTTTTTTAAGTGAATGCATAGCACTCCAATGGGGCACTAAATTCTTTGAAAACAAGGACTGTTATTACAAGAAATCACTTTGTCTTCAGTACCTGGCACAGGAACTCAATACACAGGAACTCAAGGAGGTCATCCATAATTACTCAATGAGTGAAATAATGAAAAATATTAAATATGTTAAGATAACTTTTTAATTCTGAGAGCTGAACAGAGCATTAATACTAAAGAAGTAATGTATTTTACTTTATTGAAATATCTTCTGTGTAATAATCAGTGGGAATACTGAGTTCTTACAATATGATAATGAAGGCTGTATAATTGCTTGTGTTTCATTAAATGAATGAAACACTTTTGAGTATTGCAGGGCTCTTCACAAAGTCATTTTAGGCAATAGCAACTCACTGAAATAATTTCCAGCTTCGGTTAGAATCATTGAAAGAATGCTTAAGGATGGGAAGCTCAACATTTTAGGAAAGCAAAACTTCTCTAGAGGAGACGGCAGCAGTTTAGAAAATTTCTAAGATAATATTTTTAGAAGCATTAAAGCACTAGACTTAAAAAACGAGACAATGCTTCCAAATGTTATAGGTAACCTAGATGATTACTGAAGTCTAAGCAAGTCCCAGAATATTAATGCACAAAAACAAGACAAAATTATAAAAATAAGCCCTTTGCTAGAAAGAATTTGATGCCTCATAAATAGCAAGTCATAAAGTATAATTCTTATTAATGATCATAAGCTTGATTGAGCATAGAACCAGAAAATTTGGAATTGATATTGGCACTAGTTCATTCTACTTGACTGTTTTTATTTTGGAGATGAAAACTTGGCATCCATTACTGATCAGATAATTTGATTATGGTTAAAGAAACACCCTAAGGATGCTCAGTTCCAACAATAGGATGGTCCGATATATGATCTTAAATAAAAACTTCAGCTCTGACAGGAGGAACAAGCACCACTAGAGTCCATGCCTGCTGTGAAAGAAACGGTGTAATGTTGTCGGTCACAAGTCAGGAGATGGACCATGCTACCTCAGCTCTTTAGAAATGTGAAAGCCCCCCTTCAGCCCATGGTCTTCTTGTGGAAGGATATTCTTCTACAACAGAGTCGTTCAGCAAGGTGCTTTCCTGATCCACTTGCCTAATTGCTCCCCATATCAAGCATTACCTAGAAAGCAATAAATGAGTAAGGGGCTGCTTAGAGAACTATAAGATTTTATCCCTAAGAACCACTCTCTTAACCTGCAGACCATGAAGTTACAGATTTCAGCAGCTTTTAACAAAAAATGAAACTTGACATATTGCTTGTTTGATAAAACAGGGTAGAGATATTTAGCTAATTTTTAAATGTAATGATAATATTTACACTCTATCTTTCAATTAGTACTATGTAGAACAATTTAAATTAACAAATGGTAGGGGAGTTATGCTATCTAATATAAAATTTATTTGCAAACTGTTATTTTTAAAAGCTGCTACTAACAATACATTAACAATATCTTCATCAGAATTTACTTAAAAACATTTAATTACTCAATTTATGTAGATGTGTTTTTTGAACCAAGAATTTGAGGTAACTGTTTTATATTTACTGCAGAAATCCTTTGAAGGCAAGAATTATTCCTCCCATGTTGTTGGAGAAGAAATAGGTTCATGTAGATTAATTATGGCCAAGGTCATGAAGAAAGTACTAGAGGCAGGGAACAAATTTAGGTCTTCTGTCCTCTAATTTGTTGTTTTCTGGGCACTACCTAAGGTCTAATAGAAATCAGCGAATAAGGCAGAAACTAGAGCTTGAGAATCGTGGATATGTGTGAAGGAAAAAGAAGCTTTGTCAAGAAGTATTTCATGATCAGAAATCCCTCTATTTTTTTTTTTTGAGAGGGCATCTCTCATATTTATTGATCAAATGGTTGTTAACAACAATAAAATTCTGTATAGGGGGGTCAATGCTCAATGCACAATCATTAATCCATCTCAAGCCTAATTCTCGTCAGTCTCCAATCTTCTGAAGCATGACGAACAAGTTCTTACATGGTGAACAAATTCTTACATAGTGAATAAGTTCTTACATGGTGAACAGTACAAGGGCATTCATCACAGAAACTTTCGGTTTTGATCATGCAATATGACCTATAAACCATCAGGTCAAATATGAATATTCATTTGATTTTTGTACTTGATTTATATGTTGATCCCACATTTCTCCTATTATTATTATTATTTTTATTTTTAATAAAATGCTGAAGTGGTAGGTAGATGCAAGATAAAGGTAGAAAACATAGTTTAGTGCTGTAAGAAGGCAAATGTAGATGATCAGATGATCAGGTGTGTGCCTGTAGACTATGTGTTAATCCAATCTAGACAACGGCATTCAAACATCCACGGATGCAGATTTCTCTCAACTCAGGGGTGGGGGGGGCGGAGGTTCTAAGCCTCACCTCTGTTGATCCCCAAATTCTCACCTGATGGCCTCCCTGCGACTGTGCCTGTCTTAGGTTGTTCCTCCCTTGAGGAATCTTACCCGTCTCTGGCTAACCAGTCATCTTCCGGGGCCATACAGGGAGATGTAAAGTTAGAAATCCCTCTATTTTTACAACTATGGGAGGTTTCCTGATGATTATTGTCCTCTTGCCTTTTCCAGTTAAAAAAAAATGGTAGTAAAGATGTAGCAGGCCTGTGGAAAAAAGAGGCTTGAGTTTTCCCTTAAAGCAGGGGGATGTGTTGGGCGTACCTTACGAATAAAAACACCAGGGTAAAAAATTTTTAAATATTTTATTTCTAAAGTTTTACTTCAAAAAAGTGAATACAATTCTATATTTAAAGTGCACAGTGATAACTTGATATATGTGTATATTGTGAAAGGATCCCCAGCACTGAATCAGTTAACACAATCCATCAATTCCATTTATGTTTTTAATTTTTTGTGTGTGAGAAGACTTAAGTTCTACTCTCAGAAAATTCCAATTATACAATACAGTATCAGAAACCATTGTCACCATGATATACATTAGATCCTCAGACATTATTCATTGTATACATGAAAATTTGGATACTTTTACCGCCCTCTCCTTGTTCCCCCATACCCAACCCTGGGCAACCAACATTCTGAAATCTGTTTTTTTGACTGGTTTTTTTTGTTTTGCTTTGTTTTCAAATTATATTTATAATTGATAACATGCAGATTTTCTCTTTGCTTATTTCACTTAGGACAATGACCTCTAGATTCATCCATGTTGCCACAAAGTTTCCTTCATTAAGCCTCAATAGTAATCCATTCTACACATACACACACACACACGCACGCACACCACATCTTCTTTTTCCATCTATCTATAGACAAACACTTAAGTTGTTTCCATACTTGGGCTATTGTGAATAATGCTTCAATGAACAGAGAATACAAATATCTCTTGGAGATACTGATTTTGTTTCTTTTGGGGTAAATTCAGTAGTGGGATTACTGGATTATATGACTGGATCATAAGAA